ATCTTTCCTGAAACTTTCCCAGCTTTGCTGCCAACATATCTTGAGTAATATACTCGGGGTCAGAAACATTATGTCCACCCCTTGCTCTTCCTCGACCACGGCCAGCCATTGAACTTTCTTGGGCCGACAATTCCTGTTCCCCACGAGTTTCTTGTCTGATACCTCTACCTCTTCCTCGTCCCCTGCTACGACTTCGTGTTTCTATTACATTTTCTGGATCCTCTCCGTATATTACATTTCTTCTTCCTCGACCTCTTCCATAACCAGTAGAGGTCCTTTCTGATTGATTGGGATTATCTGTCATTTCTCAGTATGTAACCTTTTCTGTCACATTTAAACACACATGATTATTCTCATAATCACAACATAATAACACATTTATCCTCATGTCTACTCATAACTCAWATTATATCAGTCATATATAATCTATCTTTCTCATAATAGGTTTAGCTATAACATATTTCCATGTTCATAGATCCAGTGAAACCTATTATCATAACTTTCCACACCTCTAGTTTAAGTCTAAGTATTTCGCAAATACCCAGATCCCTTAAACTAAGGCTCTGATACCAACTGTAACAACCCACATATTCTATGTACAGATAATCCACATCATCATACTCATAACACAAAATATAACATCGTTTACATAATACAGATTAACATAAATTCTTTTCTCATCTACATTTTAAAAGTAACTAAATGTCATTCATGCTAAACTTTTCCCTTGCCTTTATCTTGCGAGGTATGATGACCTGCAAAACAGGTTAGTCCAACAACTGAGCGTTAGACCAAAAAGGTCTAGTGAGTGTATAATTCTCAACAAACAACATACATTCCAAACAATCAGTTTAGATGTTCTGATACATAAACTTATTTATGTAACTCTCGCGGTTACACCGCCATTTCATCTCTCTCTCGCGGTTACACCGCCATTACATCTCTCTTTCGCGGTTACACCGCCATTACATCTCTCTCTCGCGGTTACACCGCCATTACATCTCTCTCTCGCGGTTACACCGCCATTTCATCTCAAAAATGCTTTAACACATTAGCCGGATTTGTAATCCGGTCAGCCTTGTCCGGATATTATATCCGGACAAACACTTAGAATGTTGTGAAGCTAAACCGGCCATACCTTGAGCGGTTTATAATCCGGATAAAACTGTTTGGTTATCAATCCGGTCAACACATTCCTTTGAGCGGTTTAATTTAATCCGGTCACCTCTTGGGCGGTTTAGAGTTTAGTCCGGACAACACTTGAGCGATTTAAAAAAATAAACCGGTCACCTCTTGAGCGGTTTAAAGAGAACACCGGCCACTCTTTGTCCGGTTTATTTAATTAATCAAATATTCATGAAATGCAGTTCATAAATAGCAGATTCCAACAATATCAGATTCTAATAAAAGATGTAATAATCAATACTTCAAAGCAATATACACTCACCTTACCAAAAGATGTTGGATGGATTCAAGTCTGCAATTTTCCTTCAGCCCCTTTTTCTCTCAATATGCAGAGAATTCCTTCAGAAGACAAAAATTTCTTTTTCCTTTTTACATACACTTGCTATTTATGGCAAGTGTACACACCTCCCCTCATGGTCGGCTTAATCAAAATTACATCACCCACACACACTTCTTTATACTACAAATATTATATATATAAATATATAATATTTATATATATGTATATATGTAATCCAAAAATCTTAATTCAAATCTCAAACCTGAATATTACATACGAAAAGAGAGGAGACGCACTTAGAGAGTAATGTCTTCAAAATGGTGTTGAGCACACTTCAAAATGGTGTTGGGCACACCTCCAAATGGCTCTTCCAAGCCTCTTTATATAGGGGAGAGGAATGGGGGCAAGGACACCCAATCATTACCCAAGGGTAATTAGTACAATGTTAAGAAAATACAAAAGAAAATAAAATAGAAGAAGGAAGACAGCTCATATACAGCTGTAAAAAATATCTGGAGGAATCTTTAAGCTGCACGTTTCCCAAGTAGCTGTAACAAGGCTGGTAGACTTCGCATAGTGGTGCCATAGTGGGCAGTGCTGTCAGAAAAATACAGGTTTTTGGAATAATACCTCTTCCTTTGTGTTTCATCATCTTTTTAAAACTTTTTGGAATAAAAAAGGAAAAACAACAAAATTGGGCATTTAATAAAAGCAAAAAGGGAGTAAATAAAAAGGAAATAACTCTTAAAAATAAGAGTTATCAATAATGCACAATTAAAATTAATTAATAATTTTCAACTAACATTTATTGATAATATTAATAACTAATTTTTATTAATAATTAGTATTTATTGGGAAAAATGACAATAAACAACCAAAATACTACTTTAAGCAGTGTTTCAATAAGTTAGTTTATGTCTATTTAAACATATACTTAAAAAATAAGCAATATTATATTTACTAAATAATGTCTTAAATCGTCGAAGACGGTAAATTAAAAAAGAGGATGACTATATAAAGGAAATGAAAATGGATTGGGAATTAAAAAGTAGGTTAGTTAAATATGTATTTTTTACCAACCATTATTTTTCAATATATATATATATATATTTCTATAAAATACAATTTTATAAATGAAAAAGAGAAATTGTTATTTGAAATAGTAAAAGATAAAGATGAATTAACAAATTAAATTAATATGTATTTTGGGTGACCATTAATTTATGAAAAGATTATGTGACAACCAAATTTGGGAATTTTAAAATATGGAGTGGAGATTCAGTTTGTTTTTGGTCATCTCCCATTAATTATACAAATTACATTTTATATTGTTCTACTCCAATATTTCCTATATAAACATTATCGTTATCGTACAATGCTGGTTCCGAGCACTAGTTCATAGAAAATTGAATTATATATATATGATGAGACAACACATGATCTTAAGTACAGAAAAATCGTAAAAAACAGAAAAATACTGAAATCGTCAACCTCACATTTTGGTGATTGTTCGTGAAATGACATGAATCAAACCAATATTCGTTGTCGATTTCCTCACGTTTTTGCAATTATTGATGATTTTCCGTACCTTTCTTATTTTTCACAGCTTTATATAATAGCGTGTCCACAACACCACTACATAAAGTGCAAATTTCTAATGGACAAAATCTTTTGACGATTTGACTAGTCATTCTCTTAGAATGGACAAAAACTTTGTCATTTTCTTACTTTCTTTATATATTTTTATCAATTTTGTTATATATTTTGGTCATTTTTGAGAAATATCATTACCGATATATCATGTGAATATTATTTTTCAATCAAAATACATGTGAAGTAGTCACATTTTTTTTCCTTTATGAAAGAAGACCGATAAAATTGATGATATTCATATATTTATTATAAAGTTTATCATTAAAATAAATAAATAAAATATTAAGAAAATACAAGAGAATCCTATCAAATTTTGTAATAATATTATGTGGATTATTAAACCATAAAAAAAATTAAAATGAAATGTCATTTACCATCAACATCATGTTGAAAATTTTAAAATTTAAATTGATCAATATCGGTTTTCATCCTTATAGTTTTAAAATTACAATTCTCATCTTTATAATTTATTATCTTTTTGGTTTTTATGATTTAAAATTTATTGTTTTTTTTTTTGTTTCTATAATTTACAGTTTATTTCTATTTTAGTCCTTCATACTTATAAGTAGTGTTTAAGACTTAGAAACAAAAATAGAAATAAATTACAAACCATAAGAATCAAAATTTGAAATTTTAAAATCATAGAGATCAAATCCGTAATTTTTAACAAACCATAAGGACAAAAAATGTAATTTACTCTAAAATAATAAATATGTTAAGATTTGATGGTGAACCCCAGATTCAACCACTTAAAATAATACTTCCAATAAAAAGAGTAAGTTACTATTTTGGTCCTTATGGTTTACACAAAACTACGAACGTCATCCGTAAATATTAATATGTTCATTTTGCTATGGAAGTAATCCTCTAATTAATTTTATGTGTATTTTCGTTTTTTTACTCATTTTTCGTCTTATCCTTTTTTATTTATTTATAAAATACTATTTATAATACAAGTGTTTAAAGGTTGAATGCAAGCCATGTAATAAATAAACTCACGAATTAATAACGATGGTGAAAGAGTATGTTTGATTGGAAAGTACACATTGTTGAATTTCTTGAAGAAGTCATTAGAGCGGTGCCATTTTTGTAGTCGTTTCATCCAATAATGGCACTCACCTTCTTCTATCCTCTTCGTACTACTTAAAGAAGATTTTTTCCGTCATCATATTCCATGTGTATGTGCTAGAAGCAAGAGCGCATATGGAAACGTTACGAGGTCGACGGAGAAGACAGAAGTCAAAAGGTTGAGTAGAACTACTTGGGAGCTCGACTAGTGCAAGAGTAGACCGCCCTCCACCATTCACCTTTTAAAACCCAAATCTAAAACCTATAAGTGATGTAAACCCATACAACCTTAGACAAATCAATGGATAAGTTATCTTCAAATTGATATTTTAGTTCAAAAATAAAAATATTACTGTTTTCTCAAAACCATATAAAATCGTATTATAACGATAGAAACAAAGAATAAAAACTAAACATTAAAATTGAGATCTATCTCGCTGTATTACACGAGTATCCTTTTAGTGTGTATATATATATAATTAATGTAACTTTAATTTTTTTTTTTAAAAAGTGTAGGAAATAGGTGAAAAGACAAAAATGCCCTCTCTTAACAAGCTTTTTAACTAATGGAATTGGAACAATTGACCACTTTTATAGCAAAATATAATCTGTAGTAACCATTTTCATATTTATTAAAATTTAAGGACGATGTTTGTAGTTCAGTGCAAATCATAAGGATCAAAATTGTAAATTACTCCTAGAAAAATGTTTGATTATAAAATAAAAGATGACGAATGTTCCTTCGAGTTTATATTTCTTTTGTTGCAAATTCTTTCCTTGACAACTTTTTTGTATTCCATTTTTCGTAAACCAGGCCGCACGCCCAATTCGGAACCCCACAAAAAACACTGCTATTAAATTACAAAATCCAGAAGGGAATCGATTTCTTTGGTTATTCTACACGAAGGATTTTAATCAATTTTCTTCTGAGACCAGCTGACCCCACTTGAGAGAAGGTGATAAACTTGAGTTTCTCAAGTCGGTTTTATTCACTTCCAGAGTTCGATCCATTGAAGAATCAAGTTTGGCTGAACTGGGTTCAGTTCAATTCATTGTTTTTTTCGTAATTCATGTTGCTGGATAGAGAGCGAGCGATAAAATTGAGTTTCAGTTTATGGGTTTTGTTTGATTTGAGAGATTGGTTAATTCAGCTGAATTGGGTTTCAATTCAAACCAACGATTTCTCAGCTCTTCTTGCTGTTATGAGTTGCTTGAATTTGTATATGTAAATAGAAAGTGCGCGATAAGATTGAGTTTCATTTTTTGGGTTCTATCCAATTGAGAGTTCGATTCATTGGGACTAAAGTTTAGCTGAATTGGGTTTCAGTTCCTATTCGTTGTTTTGTTTTGTTTAGTTGATTGAATCAATAGAGAGAAATGGAAGTGGATCTGAGTGAGGAGATTGAAGCCAAAGGTGGCATATGGGCTTTGGAGCAGAAGATTGACCAGCCCATGGATGAAGAGGCTGGTAGGCTCAAGAATATGTATAGAGAAAAGGTAGTTTTATGCCACTTTCTCTTTTCTCATTGTTTATTTCTTTTTGGGTTAATCTCTCTCATAAAATCAGTTATTACAGATTGTTTTTTTTCCATATGGGTTAATCATAGCAGGTTGATTAGGGTTTATAAACATCAACTCTTTTTCCATTTTTGTAAAAGGAGATGAAAGAAAAGCTAAGATCCTTTCAATCATAATGCCTCTAAATTCCTGTGGCATTTCATTCATGGGGTTAAATCTTCCGATATTGATACGTTAATTATTGTTGAGAGCTAGTATTTACTTGATTATTATAATCTCAACTGTGTTTTCTTTTTCAAGATCAAGTAAGATATAGAATTACTCCCCCAACCCCTCAAATGAAAATCTCAATGTTTACTAGTTTAAGTGAAGTGTTGGGCTAATGTCAAATGTGTCAAATACCCTTACAAGAATAACATAGTAGAAGAATCATGTTGACCCAAATCAATGTCATCCTATATATGTAAAATGACAATGAGCAAACTCTTAATTTTAGCTTGAAAAAGTCTCATGACAGGAACCATTGTAGGACAACCTGTGAGGAAAAGTGTTGCCATTTGGCAGTGGATGTGATATCACAGATATCTTGGTTGAAGACGTTATGATTATGACTTTCTTTATATAGAATTTACTTTAATGTCTTCTAATGATTGCCTGCTGAATTCAAGTTTCCTAGGTAAAAGAAACAGAAAGTTAAGCAAATCTTTGACTTCGATTGTGTTTGATTAATGTAACTATAGAAGTCATAGCTTTTTGATGATGTGCTATTGTTTAATGCAGAAATTCTCTGTTATATTGCTTCTCCGTCTTGCATTTCAAAGTCTTGGAGTTGTCTATGGGGATTTGGGAACTTCTCCATTATACGTATTCTACAATACATTTCCTAAAGGAATCGATGATGCGGAGGATGTTATTGGAGCCCTTTCTCTGATCATATACTCTCTTACCCTTGTCCCGCTCATTAAATATGTTTTCATCGTCTGTCGGGCAAATGACAATGGACAAGGTACACCTTTTTTCCATGTTTGATTATATACTTTAATGAGCTATAGTATGAACGTTAACACACACAGTCAGAAAGCAATGTTGCATACCCACAGGCTCGATTGTTCATAATTTCAATTAAAAAAAGCCAACCTTAGTGCACCTTGCTTTTAAGATGGTTGGGTAGGGACGTCTTTGTACATGGCCTTCCTTTTGAATTTTCTTGACGATGATTTTGTGACCTCAAACTGCGGAACGCTTTGTCATGTTTTGTTGGTTGTATATAAGAGGTGTGATGGCATGTATATCTACAATAATTGATGGTGAATCTAAGAAATGCAATTTTGGTTGAGCTAACGATAATTTTGAGCACAGGGTTCTAATGGTAATTCCATACTTGCTATACAAAAAACGATGTTATGAAGTCGCTTTTTTATCAATAATCATCATCACCAGAATCAAGTATATTGACTTGAGTCCACAAGTTTCTTCTATTTTATCATTGTTGAATGGTATTTCTGATGTTCCACTGATAGTAGAAGGCGTTTCTATGAACTATTTCTCTAACCACACATTGTAATTATCATGAATTAGAGGCATTAGATGATTAAATGTAAAACTTACAACCTGAAGTCCTTACAAGCATTATAAGCTAGAAAGGTGATAACTTTTTTTTTTTCTCTCGAGTAATAGCCCCAATCCTGTAAACATCAAAAGTGAAAGTTTCTTATCTAAACCTGCTTCTTTCCACTTTTTCAGTCTGCTTTAATCTTGACCAGTCAATGGTATTCCCAGTTGACGTAGTGACATGATACGTTTACCTCCGATCTCCTTGCTCCATCATCTTGAATTCTTTTAATGCCATATTGTTCGAAGATCTTACTGGTTATTAAATACCGTAATTAACATTAAATAATGTTGCACGGGTGGTCACTTTGAGGGTTTCCTCTTTCCATTTGTACGTACTTTGAGCAATACTGCTTTGATTCACCTTCTAGAGATTTCACACGACCCTGGCACCAATTTCCATCCTGTTACAGACTCCTTCCATCACCATATCCAATAATTTCATTTCCAACCCAAGATCTATCCTCATTAGCTCTTTTTGTGATGCTTTTTTGCAGGCTGAAAGAGCTGTGAAATAGCCTTAGTTATCGCTATGAATGATTCGGTGTCATTTCACTTCACAAGTTGTAATGCATCTGAACGACTTTTCTAATCGAGATGCGCTGGTAATCCATAAAACTTCATTCTCTTCAACCTTTGGTATTCTTCTTGAATGTGTGTGACCGAGAGGTCACGTGTTCAAGTTATGGAAACTGACACACTGCAAAGTGGAAGAGAAAGATCGAATACAAAAATTTCCCTCCAAATAAGCCTTGGTGCACTATAGTCGCCCTTTATTCTCCTTGAAAACTTGTCATGGTCAAAAAGGTTGTTAGAGTTAACTTTGCCAAAAACCACCTCCCACTTGATGCACTTTATGAAACCAAACCAAACAAGCCCAGTATATCCCACCTGAAGGTGGGTTCTAAGGAGGGTACCTGTACCCCAAGAGTAGAGCGGCTATTTCCATGAAGACCCCTAGCTTGTGCAAAAACAGGATAAAATTGCTAAAAAATGCAGAAAACAAACATATAACCACTTGGTGCACTTTTTTAGGACAAAATCCTCTAGGGCGTTCTTTAGATGGCATGTAAGCATCCGATCTCATTTCCCTTTCAAGTACATTGTTTCATTTCCGAACCGTATTTAGAAAATCTTGAAGTTGAAGAACTAAAGTAGATTCCTTCTCTGAATGATCTCTAGATGGACTCTTTAGTTCAGTATCATAGAAATAGGGCCTAAAATAATAGTACCCTTTATGAAGACGATTCACAAAAATAAATAACTTAAATGGCCTAAAGCAATGTTACCCTTTATGATTATGATATTTTTAAGTGGCAGCACTGAATCTGTCGATCATTATACAGGTGGAACGTTCGCTCTTTACTCGTTATTGTGTCGGCATGCAAAAGTTAACACAATTCCTAATCAACATCGAACTGATGAAGATTTGACGACTTATAGTCGTAGCACAATCCATAAGCAATCGTTTGCTGCAAAAACAAAGAGATGGTTGGAAGCACATGCATTTAAAAAGAATGCTCTTCTTTTAATTGTCCTTGTTGGCACCTGCATGGTGATTGGAGATGGTATTCTAACTCCTGCTATTTCAGGTAGTTGTTTGTTCTCCACCTCACTTTATAATGTTAAATGCTCAATAAGGGAAAATATTCATTCGGGACCTATCATTAATTATGATATCTTAACCAAAATATGTGTTTTTTACCAGTTTTATCAGCTTCTGGTGGTATAAAGATCGACCACCCTAGAATGAGTAATGGTAACTCTATATTTTGTTGTTTTCTTGGAGAGCATTTTTTATTTCTTTTCTTTTTCAGATTATTCAAACTTCTACCTTCGATTTGTTGCAGATGTTGTAATACTTGTTTCAGTTATCATACTATTAGGCTTGTTTAGCCTGCAACATTATGGTCCAGATAAAGTTGGATGGCTCTTTGCTCCAATTGTATTGCTTTGGTTTCTTTTAATTGGAGGAATTGGAATTTTCAACATCTGCAAACATGATCGAGGGGTATTGCGGGCTTTCTCGCCTGTATATATATTTCACTACTTTAGAAGGCGAGGAAAAAGTGGTTGGACTTCCCTTGGAGGGATCATGCTCAGCATCACAGGTAATTACTTCCCCACCTCTCCTTCCTTTTGCTCTTCATGGCCGCATTTGGTACACATAAAGGGACCAGACAGAACTAGACGGGACGGGTGAAAGAATTGTGTAAGGTTTTAGGGTTTTAATTGGACATGGGTAGTTTAGTAATTTACCAATCTTGTCCGTCTTCCTCATTTTTGTTCCACCTATTTTGGTGGGAGATCCCGCCAGTCTTCTTTTGTCCCAATCTAAATGTCGCACCAAATGTGGGACAACGAGTTTTTGTCCAGTCACACATACCAAGCACATTCTATGTCCACGTAGAATAGAAATGAAGATTTTGTACAAAAAGAGTATTTTTTTTTTTCATTTCACGAGTGGGCGAGAGATTGAATTCTAGGTTTGAAACAACAAAAATTAAAGGGGTTGGCGTATTCTGTGTTCTGATGCAATATTTCAACTGAAATTGCGCCTAAGAAAATGGAAGATCTTCTCGAGATTCGATGTTTGGTTCATAAAAGAAAATACGTGTATGTTACTCTCTTAAAATGGAATGAAAATTAGAAATAACAAAACATATATGATTTCAATATGATTTAGTTTCCTTCATAATAGTATGGTTTCCATCTTTATTCGTCCAATATTTTCGACGAGCGAGATAATCGAATATGTAATGTTCCACTTGCATCTAGGCTCTAGCAAGTAAATCTATCAACATCTTGGGTTAAATGGCCTTCTTTCAGGTTGTTTTTTATTTATAAATTCATGACGTTCCGATAAGTTTGAGAATGCCATTGCTTCAACAAATAATGACACTTTCATACGCAAGAATGCCTAAAAACCTGTGAGAAGGTCATGGATTTGTAAACCACTTGTCAGGAGGTCATTTAACTAAATAACCCCAGAATCTTGGATGAACATTGGTGGTTATGGTACAATATCAGAAATGGCTAAATTAGAAAACCACAATGACAAAAGTACGGATTTTAGCTTACGGTAATAGATGTTATAATTTAAAAAAACGTGTTATTGTATAGAAATTGTTTTTACTTGAAGTTTTTCGGATGATTTGCTAAAACTTGCAGGGACAGAGGCACTATTTGCAGACCTTGCCCATTTCCCCGTTTCGGCAATCCAACTTGCGTTTACAGTTATCGTGTTCCCTTGCCTTCTTCTTGCTTATTGTGGACAAGCAGCCTACCTCATGAAGAACAAGGAACACGTGTACGATGCCTTTTACCGCTCTATACCAGGTTTGTTTCCGCTTTATCCAATTTTCATCGGTCAGTATGAACTTGACCCTGTATAATAACTATAATGGTTAAGCTAATTGTCGGCTAATAAGCAGCTAGTTGTTGGCTAAAGATCTTGCTGATGGCCTAAAAGCTGTCTGTGCACTGAGAACTTGGTTGATAAGCTGGTTGTTGGCTATGTTTGGCAAAGCTGATAAGCTAGTTGTCAGCTAATAAGTAGCTGTAGGCTGAAAAACTAGTTGTGTGCTATGTTTGACAAACTAGCTGATAAGCTAGTTGTCGGCTATTGGCCAAAAAGCTAGCTGAATAGGTAGTTGTTGGCTAATAGGTAGTTGCTGGCTAATAAACTAGTAAGTAGCTGAAAAGCTAGTTGTCGGCTAATAAGCCAATTGTCGGCAAATAAGCTACAACTTATGGTTGCCAAGCATGGCTTTACACGGTTCGAGAAGAAATGTAGACATGATTAAGGTTCCTTTTTTCACTAACAAAGTGTGAAAATCGTATATTGTGGGAAAAACGTCAACTTGCTGCTGTGTATGATGTCAAATTATCGAAGTAAACAAAATTTGTCTTAATCTTGCAGACACTATATACTGGCCGATGTTTGTTGTTGCAACTTTAGCTGCCATTGTCGCAAGTCAAGCTACTATATCGGCCACGTTTTCGATAATTAAGCAGGCAAACGCACTCGGATGCTTTCCTCGAGTCAAAGTTGTTCATACGTCGAAGAAATTTCTTGGGCAGATATACGTTCCGGATATCAATTGGATCCTTATGGTTCTTTGCATCGTTGTAACTGTTGGATTCAAAAACCAAAGCCAAATCGGGAACGCTTATGGTAAGTCTCGTTTATTGCATTTCATCATCTTCTATATGGAGCATTCATCAGTTCACATCCAATGGATTTGGGAGAAACCGATCCAATCCCGTCAGCGTTTGAACCGGTCCAATCCACCTAATTTTCGACAAACGAACCAATCTGATGCGACAGATAATCGGATTGGATCTGTTTTATCTATTACATATTACTGTTAATTATTTATAGATTGGATCCATCTAATATTTTGAACCAATTATCCATACATTTCATTTGAAAGTACTAACTCGAGCGACCAACATAATTTATAAACATAAATCTTATGGAGAAATCAAGTCCCATACACCAAAACACTCCCTTCGTCTTGGTATATATGTCCACAATGAAAAAGACTCATGTGTAATTGTTACATTTTAATTAGCTAAATGACAATTTTACCCTTGTTAATAGATGGAATAATGAATTTCTCCATTTTATAATTAACGGTATAATTGGAAGGTAGACATTTATTTTTGAAAGTGGACACCTACTTTGGGACAGAGGAGTCTCATATTCAAATGTCACACAAAGTAAATCATTACTTTTTTATGATCGGATTCAATTGGTTCGATTTCATTAGATTTTGAACTGTCATCCAACAACCGACATATCTAATTTGGATATTGAAATTGTGGATAAAATAATCCAATTACCATCCAATTTTGGTCGGTCAATTTTAATTGGATTAGATAACTTTTTGCGCAACCCCCTGATCATTTTGTAACAGGCACGGCGGTTGTCGTAGTCATGCTGGTGACGACATTCCTAATGATCTTAATTATGCTACTCGTCTGGCGGTGCCATTGGATTCTCGTCTCGATCTTCACCGCATTGTCACTAGTGGTCGAGTGCACCTACTTTTCGGCTGTCCTCTTCAAAATCAACCAAGGCGGGTGGGTCCCACTCGTGATCGCCGGCGTCTTCCTTCTTATCATGTATATTTGGCATTACGGCACCGTGAAACGGTACGAGTTCGAAATGCACAGCAAAATCTCGATGGCATGGATTCTTGGTCTCGGTCCAAGTCTCGGTTTAGTCCGTGTTCCCGGGGTCGGACTCGTGTACACCGAGCTAGCAAGTGGGGTCCCACATATCTTCTCCCATCTGATAACCAACTTACCGGCCGTCCATTCAGTGGTCGTTTTTGTGTGCGTTAAGTATCTTCCGGTTTACATGGTCCCCGAAGACGAACGGTTTCTCGTGAAACGAATCGGTCCGAAAAACTTCCACATGTTCAGAATCGTTGCGAGATACGGGTACAAAGATCTTCTAAAAAAAGACGACGAATTCGAGAAAAAACTATTTGATAATCTTTTCTTGTTCATAAGACTGGAATCGATGATGGAAGGGTGCTCGGATTCCGACGAGTATAGCCTGTACGGATCCAACCAGCAAACTTCACGTTCCATGAACGACTTCCGGTCGCTGGAGAACGATACGTTTTCGTCCGAAATTGATTTGATCGTGGCGGAAAACGAGGGATCCGGGAAGGGCAGCGGTTCGACGGAGGTGGATGAAGCGGAGTTTCTGATGAGTTGCAGGGCGGCCGGAGTGGTGCATATAATGGGGAACACGGTGGTGACCGCCCGGCGGGGATCGAGGTTTTATAAGAAGATATCGATCGATTATATATATGCGTTTATGAGGAAGATTTGTAGGGAGCATAGTGTTATATTTAACGTTCCTCATGAGACCCTTTTGAATGTTGGGCAGGTGTTTTATGTATGAATTATTGAATTTATTCTATCAATAAATTAAAATTTAATTTTGTGTTTTTATTGGAATAATATTTCTTGATAACAGATTAAATTGGTAAGAATAAAAAATATATTTTAAACTCGGGTTTTTACAAGAAAGAATTACTTCTGAAAATTCTATACAAACTACCGCAAGATGGTTTGGTCATCTTGTCCATATTATAACATTCGCACATTTAAAGTATTTTTCTTTTATAAAAAAAAACGAAATAGAACAATGGTAATACTGAAAGAATGAAATGTGTAATTCTTATTAATTATAAATTTACTAGAAGAGTACTCGCGCAATGCAGCGAGATACATCGTGTTTTTAATATTTCATTTTATTCTTTATCTCAGTCGATGTTATAATATGACTTTATGTGATTTTGAGAAAGCGATGATGTTTTTATTTTTGAATAAAATAT